ACTTTGGCAAGCCTATCAGCATTGGATCGCTGATGGAATTCTGATCAAAGCGTATACTCAGTATATAGTGACCACAAAAATGGCACGAATCAGACGTCGATCAACATCAATGAACGTAAACATTATCCACGTAGAGTGTAATGTGACCAAGGGTGCAGCAATAGTAAAGCTGCACACACGATACATGAATTTTCGCCGAGTGTGCCGCCGGGATATAAGATATTGGAAAGGCCCACGCAGATCATTTACTTGCCGATTATTGCACGTAGCATTATAGATCCAACGATACGCATCATCGACCAGAATGGACGACTGTTCGAATTTCGCGGAAAGGAGATTACCATCAGATTGTATGTGCGATAGCGATAGCGATAACGTGACATGCTCGTATTGAATGAAGCGGAGAGTACACAGAGAGATAACGAATTCTTTATAAGGCCGATGATATCGCCGCTCGATAACATTCGCTCATCTAACTGCATCAGCAAGAAGAAACTCAGCGCTCGAACTCAGAACTCGAACGTTAAATTTTTACAATCTTTGGGATTCGCAGTGCGCAACTTTTGAGTGATATCTTGAATATCAATGAGCCGATCTTTGACGATCGCATCATTAAGATTGAGACTCACACGTACAATCCATTCGCTAATACAACGTTTGAGTATAGCGACGAGATAAGAATACCGAACCCATACAGTAACAGGATTTATACACGTCGCCGTGCGAAAGTTTTCTCTACATCGAAGGAAGATTGACGGTGAAAAAAAAACGATGCTAACGATGTTTGTAAATAATTGCTGTTCATGTATGAAATTCGATATGAACTCAACGGTGTAGAGATGGCCATAACAGAAACGTGGGCATAATTAGTACGTTTAAGAATTACATGACGTACGAAACTTTTGATTGCCTTAAACGCCGGATGGAATTCTAAATCTGACATGGAGGAAGAACACTTTAATTTTTGCGTGCCGTTCAGTATGCTGTTGGACTTCTGCGAAGATTACAAAGCTTGATCAGCAACGCTCGCCACGAATTGATTTTGATACGAGTACGCAATGATTACAATTGCTTGATGTCTGAAGTTGAATTATTTACAGTACAATGGCGGATGCCTCTTGCGTTAAATGAAACCAATAAATTATCAATCTCAGATAACACTCAGATAACGATCGCTTTTTAATGCTGCGAGCATTAAAAAGCGATCGTTATCTGAGCATGAGTAGGATCTGTAAGCGAATATCTTCTGTTACAAAATACGACAAAGCATTCATGGGCCGTCAAAATGGCGATTCAGCTTGAGAAGCCGCGATATGTTATCTTTGCTCTGCAGATTTGAAAAAATATCATGTCATAAGATGTTTGCGTGTTCGACGATTTGTAATTTGAGTGAAACTTTATTTAAATTCAGTATTTTATCCATACGATGATTTAATCTGGATTTTGACAAAAAGAGACGCCATTCTGTTTGATATAGACGCACGTTATCGTAGAGCATATTATGGAACCAATTGCTCCGAAATATTACTCAACGTGTTCTCATTTACCGAGAAAGGGCCTTTTGTGATCATTGATTGCTCGCGACAAAACGAATTCGTCAAGAGTGCCATTGTAAACGTCCGCATAGAATTTGACTACAAGGAAAATATACTCAAATATAACAGCCTATTATCTCATCATATGACCGCGTGGCTCAGTATAATTCATTGACAAACGTAATGCGCAAGATCATGTAAATTGCAACATCAACATGTATTTAGAAATTTAAAGAGAAAGAAAAACTGGAAGTGCAGTCTCGAAAAATTGCTCGACATGGCCATACCGACGTTTATGGATCTACAAGGGGAGATTCATTGTTAATAAAAAATTTGTTGTGAAGGAAGTGGTGGTGTTGAAACAGAGGACTTCTCACGTATAAATTTTTACGAGTCCCGTGCCATGACAATTTTTGATAAGATAAGTCTTGCGCTTCCTGCTTGATTGCTTATCATCGTAGATTGCGATGGGAGAACGGGAAAATCCTATACAGCGAGGCGAAACGCTTAATTATGAAGGCTATTTGAAGATGATGTATACATCAAGGGAGAAATTAACGGAGAAATTAACATGACTGTGAAACTTGCTTTTGGACGATGAGCGAGAACGCATATACACCGAGACCTTAGATACAATTTACGAAGACATGTAATCTTTATCTAATCTAGATATTATTAATACAATACTTACGATGCGGATAACATGTCAAGAATTGTGCGTTACAAAATGTATTAAAAATATATAACTGATGGTTGCAAAAGAATTTTTAAAATAAAAATACGTTAACGTACTTAAAGATTACGTGTTTCGCGAGTTTTCTCCGTATCCAGATCCATTCTCGGAATGTCGTTTCGTGAATCTTGCAGTTCATGTCACCAGGACGAAGAACAGTCTGACACTGAGCTGTTCCTCCAAGACGTTCCTTTTATATTACGCTACTTGTGGAGTGATGGGGGGAAGGAGAAGAAAACTGTGAGTGGGGGTGGAGGGTGGGGGGGGGGGGGATTGGTCGATCTTCAATAAACGAGGGAATGGTTTTTCATATTTTTTTTATGTTGTAGCCATTATCTCTATTTAGATTGTTAGATCGTTTTTGTATCTGGTTTGTCTATACTTTCTTAGAAAATATGATGTAATATTGATTATTGTGGTCGTTTTTTATCAAACAATATTTGATGTTCCGTTTCGATGATTTGATGTTATGTTCTGATAATGCTATCACTGCGTGGTATGTTTTAGTCCTATCACGTTGGTATTCTTTTATCCGTAGGTTGACCATTTTCCCTTCTCCTTTCAATGTATACTTGCCTGCAGGAAGATATTTTGTATATACTCTTGCGGAGCTGAATGGAGGTCTTTACTTTTTAGGATTTCTCAAGATTTGTCCTATCTTTTTGGATTTGAAGATAGTTCGAGTATTGTATTTAATATCCTGCCAATCCGATCTGTTGTTCTTTTGACATGTAAGAGAATGGATACGATCTTCTGGTTGTGTGTCAGAGATCGTTGTTTTGTTTGCATGTTTATTGATTTTGATCATGTCTTTTTTGTGTCCGTTTTTTTGTAAGGCTAGTTTTAAGTAATTCTGTTTGTAGAGATGTTCTTTGTTCAGAAATGGTGAAAACTCTATGTACAAGTGAGTTGATAGTTGATTGTTTTTGTACTGGATGGTGCAATTCGGCATGTAGATATCTATCTGTGTATGTTTTTCTGTACACTTGATAGCCTAAGGTACTGTCAGTTTTCTTAAAAACAATAACATCTAGGAAAGGGAGTTTTCCGTTTTTCTCTATATTTATAGTGAAGTGGATATTTGGATGTTGACTGTTGAGGAAAATAAGAAATTTACGGAGTTCGGCTTTGCCGTGTTTCCACGTATCATAAATACCAGGTGTACAAGTATGAAATGACGATTTGAGTAACAGATGGCGCACTAATGCAGTGTGAAGTACAAAGATTTAACATTATACGCCATTTTATTGTACCATCAACAAGTGTCAAACGCGCAAAGTGATTTGATTGAAAAGTGTTTGCATAGTATTGTGTTGCTGTCTTTAATATGACGAAATTTGTACCAAATAAGGAGCATTCGAAGACAGCATTAATTTTTTGTTTTCATTTAAAGAAAACTATTGCGGAATCATATCGACTACTTGGAGAAGCTTATGGTGAACATGCTCTATCGCAAAAAACGTGTGAACGATGGTTTCAATGTTTCAAAATTGGAGATTTCGATGTTGCAGACAAGGAACACGGAAAACCGCCCAAAAAATACGAAGACATGGAATTGCAAGCATTGCTGGATGAAGACGATTCACAAATACAAAAACAACTCTCAGAGCAATTGAGCATTAATCAACAAGCTGTTTCCAATCACCTACGAGAGATGGGAAAGATTCAAAAAGTCGGCAGATGGGTGCCACATGAATTGAACGAGAGACAGATGGAGAGGCGCAAAAACACATGTGAAATTTTGCTCGAACGATAAAGAAGAAAGTCATTCTTGCATCGTTACTGGGAATGAAAAGTGGATTTTTTTTTAGAATCCCAAGCGCAAAAAATCATGGGTAGACCCAGGCGCACCATCTACATCGCAAGACCGAATCGCTTTGGCAGGAAGACGATGCTCTGTGTTTGGTGGGACAGAAGGGTGTGGTCTATTATGAGCTATTGAAGCCTGGCGAAACGGTTAATACACTCAACAACAATTGATTGATTTGAACCGTTCGCTGCTTAAAAAATGACCAGAATATCAAAAGAGGCAACACAAGGTTTTTTTCTCCATGACAATGCTCCATCACATACGGCAAAACCAGTTTGAGACACGTTGGAAGCACTCAGTTGGGAAGTTCTACCCCATGCGGCTTACTCATCAGACTTGGCTCTTTCTGATTACCACTTGTTTGCATCGATCACGCACTTGCTGAGCAGCGCTTTGGTTCATACGAAGATGTGAAAAAATGGCTCGATGAATGATTCGCGGCAAAAGGGGAAGATTTTTACTGGTGTGGTATTCACAAATTGCCCGAAAGATGGAAAAAATATGTAACTAGCAATGGAGCATACTTTGAATAAATCTCTTTTTATCATTCTTCCAAATTGTTTTTTTTGGGAAAAAAATCGTCATTTCATACTTGTAGACCTGGTATATTATTTACGTAATCAAACTTACGGAATCAAACTTCTGATTTTTTGGGTGTTTGTTCTGAGGTCCTCTTTTTCAAAATGCTTCCTAAAGATGTTGCGATTACAAGAGAAATAGGAGAGCTCATTCGCTCCTGAAGTTTGTTCTTAATTGGTTATTATAGGAGTAGTAAGTGTAGTAGTTGTTAAATAGTGCTCTATTAACAGGATGAAGTCTTCTTCAACAAAGAAACAACAGATCGGATTGATAGGATATTAAACAAACACAATATCCGAACTATCTTCAAAAAGATGAGACAAATCTTAAGAAATCCTAAAGATCAAAGACCTCCACTCAGTTCCGCAGGAGTATACAAAATACCTTGTTCCTGCAAGTATACATTGGAGAAACCGGGAGAATGGTCAATCTACGAATAAAAGAACATGATGTCAGGCTAAAACACGTTATGCAGTTAGCATTATCAGAATACAACATCGAAATAGGACATCAAATATTGTTTGATAAAACGATTACAATATTATATCGTACTTTCCAAGAAAATATAGAAAAGTCATAGAGATACAAAAACGCTCTAACAATCTAAATAGAGATAGGCTACAATAAAATATGGAAAATCATTCTTCCGGTTATTGAAAACCGACCAATTTCTCCTACCTCTCCTTCCCACCTACAATTCTCTTCTTTCCCCTCCTCCATCATTCCAACAAGCGGAATATAAAAAGAACGGTCCGGAGGAATAGCTCAGTATCAGACTCTATTACTCGTCCTGATGAAGTGGACTGCACGCAATGTTGGCATTTCAAGAATGAATCTGGATACGGAGAAAATCCGCAAAACACATAATCTTTATATAGAAAGTACCTGTGGAAGCCTCAAAAATACGTTAATGTATTTATTATGTATTTCTTTTCTTTTCTTTTATAATATATGAATGTATTTACGTATAAATATATGTACAGGATCAAAATCCGGACAAATTGAACAATTTCTTTAAACAAAATGTTTTTAATGAAAAATTAAATATTACAAAAAATTCTTTTACGTGACACTTGGGGGATTCCTGTAGAGCATAATTATTCGATCCCCCATTAGCTTGAATGACGGCCTCTATTCTCGCTCTGAAGCATTCGTACGCATGCTATAATGTAGCGTTGTCCATGCTGACGAATGCTGCCTCAATAGCGATTCTTAATGTCATATTGGGATGCCGAGACTTGTTTGTGACCCTTTCAACTATGTTCCATACGTAATAGTCCAAGGTATTTAAATCTGAGCTGTTGGGAGAGTAGAATGGGAGCCGAGGCGAGCAACCTTGTCGTGGCAGCCTCAGAGAACATCTATCTTTAATATGTACGATTTGTATCGAAGGTTCTCCTCAGCTATTCGACGCATTATTGGCTCGCTTACATCAACAATCGATGCTAATTTTCGCAACGATTGCCCTGAGTTATACGAAATCAGCGCTTAAGCCCTTTCAACGACTGCGGGAGTCCTCGCGGTGCTTTCGAGTGATTTCCTCCCTGGCATACTGGAACCTTCGTTGGACTATTCTAAAGCCATATATTTCCCCACAACGTCAAACGGTTGATTTCGGGTATCCAAAGAACCGAATTATTTCCGTTGCTGAGCGCGAAGGCCTTCAATGATCGCGACTCTTCGATTATATACCTCCGCACGTAGTTTCAACATCGCGGCCATTTTGAGAATATGACTGTTTACTAGAAGCATCAGGCTTTCTCGAACGCCAACAACAATCTCTGGCGGAGGCACAATATAGTGGAAAATTTAAATTGAAATTTGTCCAGATTTTAATGACACATCCTGTACATACAAAATAAAAATCTATTTGAACAGGATTCTTTTTTTTTGTATTTCAGACTATTTGTAATAAATTTAACGTGCAATATAGAGATTTTTTATTTAAGCCCTACTTTTATGCATCTAACTTACTGAAATATCATATTGCTGTGCATAGCGCATCGCTTGAGTAGTTGATAAGCTAAAGTATTCCTTTCGAGTGGCTTATCATTCTGCATCCCACGAATGCTTGCCTTGTTGTCAATCGAGATAATGTTGCGCTCTAGAATTGCCAACTGACAACAAGCGACCGTGATCAAGCCCGTCATCAGTGTATCCATCGCCACGTTATGAAAGCAAGCAATTATAATAGCGATACCCTGATGTGCCGCGGTAATCTCGAAAGCTGGCGTTGCTGTCGTATTATAAGGGTACCATCCCTCCATGGGTAGTTGGCGTGAACGACCAGCGACGAAATCAGCGATTGGAGTAAAACCCCAACAAAACACCGCAATTCCGCCGAAGCTTTGATAAATCGCATGATGAAAGATGCCCTTCCACGTGTAGTTTATAAGTAAATCTTCATATTCTTTGTCATAGCGACTAAATGCAGCACTATCGGCTGTGTCCAGGAGTGTCTGGATTCGCGCCTGACGACGAAGAAGAACGGCCACCTAGAAATATCGATCTCTCTTTCACTTTTGATTTATACAATATTTTTCAAGATTTAAATCTATTTAAAGTATCTGTCTAGCCCAGAAAAATTAAATATTTTAGAAACAAAATTGCCATAAAAATATTGTTTGCAGGAAGTTTGTTCGAAATGATTTATATTAAAAGTTCTGACCGCCAATGAACTTGAAAAACTTTTCAACTTCAAACAACTAATCAAAAATGCCAGTTTTTTAAATATTTCAGAAAATACTCATTTTATTTAAATAAAAATCATTATGAAAAAGAAAGCTAAAATTACAAATTTCGTTTTTGTGAAAGTATGGATTAATATTTTCCGTGAATAGAATTTTTTGGAAAATGTATTTTTGATCATTTCTCTCGAGAATAAAGCGATATTTCACATCACGATATTTTTTTTCGTAAATACCTCGGATCTGGTCACTTTTACGTACAAAATACTTCAAATAAAAATTGAAGATTACTGAATTTTCTACAAAATAATTTTTTATCCTTGTACGACTAATAGTTGCCGAGATACGATTTAAAGAATATTTTTCTTTATTTTTTAACAAAACTTTTTTTTTAAAGTTTCATGTAAATATCTCGAATTTTCTCGGCTACGTAAAGAGTATTTATTATCAAATCAAAAGATTTTTAAATTTCTTACAAAATCATTTTTTATTGAATCTCATTAACCTCATACCTCGTACAATAAATAATTACCAAGATATAAATAAGTTTTCTGAAATTGTAGTATATTTTAATAAATAACTTGCTTGTAACTTATTGTATGTGAAAAATGTACATAAACAGTTAACTCTTATGAAATTAGCTTGAAAATACTTTTTTAAAATAAATTAAACAATATAATGTAAAGCTATGAACCATTCAGGATATTATGTGAAGATAACAATATTATTATATAAACACGAGTCGTGAATAGATTGTTAGAAAACGCAGGATTCACGACAAGCGAGCATCCATGCGAATAGCGTTATCGAGTCTCAGAATAAGAAGAGAGCTAATGGAGAGAGCTAACGGAAGAACTGAAAGAGAGGAATTGCCGGTGAGAAGCGCAGAAATTCTGTAAGGCCGCCTCGACAATGTGATCCTCGACAATGTGATCTCGAGCGAATAGCACGTGCCGAATTCGAGCCGAAAGGCTGCTGTCCACAGGGGGCTACTGCGAGCGAATTAAGCTTTTCGCTTGCCGTTCGCTAGAATCACATAGATTTTTTTTTTCAATTCGCATAAAGCTTGTTACCCTCTCGCCACAGCGAAGTCGCCGCGTCTCGTTAGTGTATATTAACTCACCATCTTACATTGTACACCGCCGTTTGAGTTGCACTTCGTGTTGAGTAAAGAAATTATTGTATGACATCTGGCAGAAAGTCGCGATTGTTACTGTAAACTTTGATCGACTGAAGTATTTAGGATAACTCTTGCGATAATCGTCTGTTTACGTTTCTCATATTACTTTGTGCTACGCGATTCGATAACTTCCGCTTACAACGAGCACATATTGCCGAGACGAGTTATTGTCACTATGGTAAATTGCGTACTTGAATAGAATCGTGTTTTTTATCAATATTAAATATATATTTTTCATTCTTTTATTATTAAAAGGAAGTAATTCTTATTTATTTTCTTGCCTTCCGATTTACTCTGAATCACCCACCATGCTGTGCATGTGGGATTGAGCAGTCCGTTGTCATTCGTCGCATTAAAGAAAAATTGAGAATAATTAGTCAAGATTTAGAGAAATCACAAAAAGCGGCACGTTCACTCGTGCCTGGTGCCCAACTCAAATTAATAGAGAATTCGCGATAATTAAGTGAGCCACCGACTTAGAGTATCAGAGTAAAATCATTGGCTGTCGAATTGCGATCACAGAAAAGCAACAAAATTGTGCCGTCAGTCGAGACTGCAACTTATATTGAATAAATGTGCATATAGCGAAGAAAAGAAACTGAAGTCATTTCAAATGATTTGAACTTTTTGTAAACTCATCTAATTTTGAGTGGTATTCATTGTTCTGTCCATAATGAACATCCGGTAAAAATTCACGCTACACATGAAGCAATGTATTGTCTAATATCAGTAAATTAAAAAAAAATTTTTAATTGTGTGATGATAATTACCTTTAAATGGTTTCACAGACAATTAAAATTATCTTTATTCTTAAGCAAGAAGCATTGTTAAAACCAAAACTCTGAACAATTATCACATCAGTAAAAAGTTTAAAAGTGTAATGATTCGTTCGAGCAAATTCTAGAACTCAACTTCCGTTATTTTGTGATATGTCTTGTCACGCAAAGACCTTCAACTATTGCTATATAAATTTGAACTAATAACCCGAGCACGTCACACAGCAACCAACTAAAGAGAACATCATTGTAGAGGGAGAATTTAGTGAAATAGGAAAAGGGATAATAAGATCTTTAGGAAGAAAAAAATGATTATATGATAGGAGAATATATTTCAAGCAGAGATTCAGTGTCACTCTGTTTATTTAACCCGTTTCTCTGTCTTTTTATAAAAATCATCTCGGAAGTCATTCTTTTATTATAGCAAGGTTTACTGTCTAAAATCTTAATATTGTTCCAATCGAAATTATGATTAAGTAATATCCGATGATATGATCGACAGTGAACCTGACTTTTTATTAATATCAGACATAAACTTTTCTATAATCGCAATTCTCGTTTTTAATTGCCTTTTGGTTGGACTAATGTACGACGCGTCATAATCATTGCAAGAAATTCTGTATAACATCGTGCTGTTGTCTCCAATGCTGGTTGTAATGTAATTTTTAAGCGTATTCGGAATCGTAAATTTTAGTTTTAAGTTCACGCTTTTTGCAACATTAGATAATGATTCTGAGATGGTTCTTACAAAAGATATAGTGAAATATCTATTGTTCTCTTTTTGTTGAATATGCTGACAATTTCTATTACAATTCAAATGAAATTTAATTCTATTATAGTTTGAGTAGAAAAAAATAAAAGGTAGAGGATATTCATTTTTTAAGCAAAATTTACAAAAATCACGTAATTTAAAAAATGATTTGAAACAATCCATTGATTTACTTATCCTAGTTACATGATTTTGATATGTAATTTTGTGTTTTTTAGTAAGGATAACAAAAATTTTCACAATGACATCACAATAGGTTCACAAATAAATTGTGATATGTGTGTCATGAGATTATTAAAAGGTCACAATGGCATCACATATTATTATCTATATATGTTATATAGCAGTTATTATATAGCAGTCTCACAGGTAATTTTTATCACAGTTTTATAATTATGGCATAACGATATCATAGCAATATCACTTGTGACAATAATTGTAGATAATTAATTATAATTAATTATAATTAAATAATTATAATTAAAATTAAGATAATTATAGAATCCAATCGAAATCACATTTTGATCTCAAGCCACCAAACAAAAATGAATATTCGGTTGTCATTCAATTTTGACCGAAAACGAAACCGAAATCAAAACTTAGGTAAATCTTACTAAAAAAAAAGAGATAGAGAGAGAGAGGAAAGCTAACAGAGTTATATTTTTTCAGCCGAAGTCGACATTTTTTAATTAATTTTACAGAGATCGTATAATTTTCAGAAATTATGACAAATATGGTATGTACTTTATAAAAAAACAAGATTTTATTGAAACATAATAATGTAATATTACATCTTCAACTTTTTAAATAAATCAAATCACAGTTACTATTAGGATCACATCAAAGTTTGTATTAAATTGTCTTAAGTTTAATTAACGAGTTAATAATTAAAATTGAAAAGTTGTTTTTTGAACGTTCAGCAGGGCGTTGCAATTTGTATAGTTTTGGTTTACCCACCGACATTTTTATCTTAATTCGGCCGAAATCAAAATCAAATTAAAATCCTGATTTTTTTACTGAAACTGATCGAAATCGAAACCGAAACTAAAATTTCGATCGGATTCTAGATAATTTTAAGATAATTGCAGTAACCTTTGAAGCATGGGTGCAATTCGTCATTAGCAAGGTCACAACTGCGGTGAGTTTTGACATATCTCCCCAATTCGTGAGAACATTCGCTATTTCGGCGGAGAGCAAGATACCCAGGATGAAAATGAAGCTACAGATGGTGTAAAGTAGATACGGTAACCGGAACTTGCCTGTGACTGGCGGCCACGTGCCCAGAAAGTAGACAATTGTTAGACTCAACCTCAGGTGAAAATTCGGTGCGATCGTTCCTCGTTCTATCATTATTTTTCTACCTGAAGCGAGTGTCATAAAAAACTCGATAATACTTTATGAAGATAAAGATTGTCTGATTTTTTTACAGTTCTTATGAGTACACAATTTCTCACTTCATTTTAATTTAACATGGTTAGTAAAACTCATTAAGTAATTTAATCACTAATTTAATTAGATTTGATAGATATTAAAATATAGATAATAATCACTTGCATTTAAATTATAAAATTATGTAGTTTACAAATTAATTAAAAGCAATAAATTTTTGTAAATAAAATGCTTGTAATTTATAATGTTTATATTAGAAACGTCGAATTTTCCTTTGAAGAGATATAAGAATCACCTATTTACGAAAATTTACGAAATTTATTTGTTATCGCTTAATGATTCACAGAGGCATACAATACAATATGCCATCTGAATGCTTCCTTTGAGTCGATTGCACGTTTGAGTCGCATAAGTTGAGGTGCTTTTGCAATACTAGATGGCCTCCTCTAATTCGAGAGAAATTCCGTAGATTCTCCAGAAATTATAGTATTACATAACACGGGCTTGTAATCAATCGAATCGCTCCGCTTTTCATCATATGCGCGAATTATTTATGAATCGCATGACTTATCAGGCTTGCTATTATACTCAATTACGAAAGCAATCAACATATAATTTATGTAGAAATAATTAATCATGCTAGACTATCACTTATTCCTTTTGTACAATTCTATAGAACGACGAAACAAAGGCAAATAGCATTTCCTCATGGTAATTCATTGCATGTTGTGATAGTAAACATTTTATTAATATAACGTTAGCTACTTCCATATCAATCTTCAAATCTTCCAAAAATTGAAAAAAAAACTTCTGATAAGCATATCTTCATAAGAATTGAATTATTTACAATAATTAAAGGCAAGTGAAGTTAAGCTATTTATTAATTAACAATTATTAATTTTTTACAAAATTATCAAATTGCAAATTTAATTTATAATACCATTTTCAAAAGATATTTTGTTGAAATTAAAAGTAAATACAACAATATGTTACAAGTGAACGCACTTGGATTTTCTCCAAAGTTTAAAATTAATTTTACCTAAATCTAGTAAATAATAAAGATAAAATAATTTTAGCAAAAAGATTTTTTTATAAGTCTATATAATTTTTCAGAATTTCTGTATAACTTTTTAGAAAATTTCTTAAGTTTTTTTAAATATAAATTACTTTTTGAAGTATTTTAAAAGATCAACATTTTTT